CAGCAGCAGCACCAGCAGCAGCCCCAGCGGCAGCAGCACCAGCCCCAGAGCCAGGCGCTCGTCGCCGTGCAGGCGCCCGCCGCCCCGGCCGCCACCCACCACCAGTACAAGCCCCGGGGGAACGTCCACTACCAGGCGAGCGCGGCCGCGGCCTCGCAGCAGCACGTCGCGCGCGCGCAGCTGCCCCAGCAGGCGCCGCAGCAGGCGCCGCAGGCCGCGCCGCTCTCGTACGACGACTACGAGGACGAGCGGCTGTACTACCGGGCCGCCCCGGCGCCCGCCCCCGCGCCGGCACCCGCCCCCGTCGCGCTGTCCGCCCCCGCTGGTCCCGGCCCCGCCCCCGGCCCCGTGTACCAGGCCTACCTGCAGTACAGGCGCTTCCAGAATGGGCGGACGCCGGCCGGCGGCGACTACTACAGCACATACTGAACGGAGGAGCCCGGCCTGGCGGGTACAGCTCACCATCAAAGTGTTCATCTAAATCGGAGATATATTCTTGCCATCTGTTAAAGACTTTTTTTTCCCGCAATTCAAAAGCGTCGAGTATAAATTTAAATTAAACGTGGCCATCCAACGGCAATTGATGCTCGGCATTTCAAAAGAATTAAGTATCGTTGTTGTGACGCAAGTTCAGAGGAGAGGGGAGCAAAGGGGGTCGTCTTATTTTCACCCCGTGACCATGAACGAGTTAGGAAGGAATTTCCTGTAAGATCTGTTAGCTTACATCGGCTGTGCAGAAGTCCTATATTAAAATGAGGATCAGAGGATTTTTTTTGTTAAAACAGTTAAATTAATGGTATTTATTTTACACCTTTTAAAGAATGGGAGGGAATTGCTCTGATCACTAGCGGTTTAAAACAAAGTAGTCAATCAAAATATATTGAGAAAAGTTTGTTTTTAAAAGAAAAGATTTTGTATTAGAGATTTAAAATACAGAGTAAGGAAATTTACAAATGTTAATTTTGTTGATGAAAACTTTAGTCTATGAGTGAAAGGAAGACTGTTGTGATATTTAGGGAAGGAAGTAAATCAATACTCACATAGAACAACATGAAGCAAGTGTAACGTAGAAAACAATAAGATATCTTCAAAATGGAACCATCATAAGTTTCTAATATACCACCATTGTGTCTTTTTACATGAAATTGTGATTTCTAAAACGCTTCAGTTAAGACTCATGGTTGACCACCTCATCGTTTTTGTATGATAGAAAAAATTGTATATTTGAAATATATGTATTAAGGAGAAACGCACTTGCGGCATTCCTATATTTACTCATATCCTCTACACTACAGTAGTTCAGATTAGTTGCAAGAAGGCCATGTCCATTCGCGGTTCCGCTGCAAGCTCTCCTCTTTCCTTTTCCGCCCAAGGCTCCCTATCCGCCCTCCCCCCTCTTCCCAACGGCTCAGGCAGAGGATACTCCATTCACATAGAGCCACTAGCATCAAGGAGCATCGACAAAGAGTCCGAACAGCAACGTCCCTGTTTGTAGCTACACGATTGTAGCTACAGCCGAGAGTGCCCGAGTCAGCTTAAACTGAACCGTCTATATACGAATTCATCACTTCCGCCAATGCTAGAATATCAACCAGAACTAAACTGCGCTAAGAACTAAAGCGAAAACGAAAGATATCAATGCCTCTCAGTAGCTCTCGCCTTGTCCAAGCGCTCGGAGGAAAAGGGGGCCGCGGGGCCTGATTCAGGAAAGCATTGCCTACCTTCCAGGCGTTTTCAACGACAATCATCGACCCACGCCTAGATTGACACGGCCTCACTTCTTAGCTTTAAAAAGGATTTATGAGCCTGGAGTCAAAAGAAACCCAAAGTCCCCGTCACGACAGACGCCTTAGGTAGAAGCCGTGGCCTACCTCGCAGGCGTCCAAGCGACAACTCATGTCGCGGCGACAAGTGGTCCCTGTTTATGGACACAAAAATGTGGTCACAAATGGGGCAACATACGATGTCCGACGCCACTAGCCACACGCCCCTTTTGTAGTTAAACAGTTGTAGCTACAGTAGTAGACATGACCGCATGCAGCTTCATCCGAACCAAAATTGTCGGCCCTAAGATCAACTCCAGGGCGGGGCAAATTTTTTCTTTGTCGCTTTTTGTCTCCCGTTAGACATGACCGAGTTTAGACCTCAGCCCCGTAGGAGCAAGCTGGTAGCCGAACGTGATAAAGTGTGATCGTTGGCAAATCGTGCGGGTGGTCGCTAGTTCGAATCCCGTACGCGGTCATTTTTCCCTGCCCTGCTGGCCAAGTATCTTCGGGCGTCGGTCACAGCATAGATCAAGATGCCGCTGAAAATAGCGCTCTGTATCGTTCCTTCGTGGCCAAGTCGGTAGCGTCCGGGCCCGGTACGAACTTGGTCGCTGGTTCGTATCTCGGCCGGGTGATAATTTTCGCGCTCCGCTGGCCATGACTTTACAGCCGTGCAACACCTGATGTGCTGGGCCGGTACGCAAAAAGTCGCTGGTTCGAATCTAGTCGACGGAACCCTTTTCCCTCTGCCAGCCATATGTTTCGGGGTGAGAGCCACAGCGGAGATAAGCTTCACCTATGCAAAACCCTCATCATTGGCTCAGTTGGAAGAGCGCGCGCTCGGGGCGCGGATGGTTGTCGGTTCGAATACTGACCGAGGCTCATTTTTTCCTATAAAGTAGTTTGCGACGCGGGGACCAAGGGTTAAGACAGAAGACCAGCCGACATGGGGAGGTGGACTTGACCGCCTACTCAGCAACCGCCCCCCCCCCAAAAAAAAACAGCAATAAAGTGTTCGCCTCGACCAGGACTCGACCCCTAGGCTCAGGGTGTCTTGCGCACCATGCCCCAGCGCGCTCGCCACTCGGCTGTCGACTCCACTTGTCGACGGAATGTTCAGAACTCGGTCACCTGCTTCACGAGTCTTGGTCTCCCGGATTTCACGCGTTCAGGTCGGGTCAAGTCCACCTCCTCGACTCGCTGCAGCCCGGATCGACTCCTGGCCAGAAACAAAGAAAATGGCCACTAAAAGAGCCCCTTGGGCGAGCGGGGGTTAGGTTAGGTTCATTTATGACACCTTTTCCGTGTTTTTGGCCGAAATTCGACCCGGGCTGCAGCGCGTCGAGGAGGTGGACTTGATCCGACCTGAACGCGTGCAATACGGGAGACCAAGACCCGTAAAGCGGGACCGAGTTCTGACCTTTACGTAGAGTGAATCA